GCTGGGATCAGAGCTTTTGTGGAAAATGACACTCATACAAAAAGTACTAACACAGAGTATCTACCCCACGTTTTCTACAACAGTATGCCATATTGATAAGGTCACATGTTGTAGTGGAGAGAAGTATGGTATGTGTGGTGTTGGAGATGTACGAAAAGCATACATCATGAATGTATAAGTTGAAGAATTTTGGACCCAAAACTGACCCTTGGACCCAAAACTGACCACAAGCAATGTCCATACATAAGGAGCAACCACCATTTAATTTCACAAACTGCTTCCTGTCACTTAAATAACTCCAGACCCAATTTAAAACTACCCCTCTGACACCATAACGTTCCAGTTCTCTTATTAATATATCATGATCTATAGTGTCAAATGCCTCAAGTCTATGTATAACCCAGCTACATATTGCTTTTTGTCTATGGAATTGTGATGTATTCTATTGAATCTAATAGTGCCAAAGATGTCGATCTGCTTGATCTTTATCCGTACTGACTCTCGGTGAGTAGTTTATGTTTATCTATACATTTTTCCAGTCTGCGATATATTTTGTTCATTCAGCACACCACTGGCACGTCCGACAGAACCAGGCTCAAACGTGTGTTTTATACACATGACAAGTTAAGATCAGGAGTATCTAAAACTAACTGATTATAATCTGTGTGCCACGCAGTCACAATTCTGGGTAGGTTGTAGAAGATCAATACTTATTTCACTCAGTGACGTAAATCAATTTATAATATTTATGTAATGTGTTTTTCAGGATTTTTGATATGCCCAGGGGAAAAAGGCCCCAGGGCAAACCCAGGATTCACTGGAGAGATTATATTTCTTGGCTGGCTTAGGAATGTCATTTTGACCCCCAGGATGAGCTGAAGGACGTGGCTGGGGTGAGGGAAGTCTGGGCTTCTCTGCTAAAACTGCTGTCCCCGCGACCTGTACCCGGATAAGGATGGATGGATGGAGATGCGAGTGTCATTTTCCCAATTGGCTGTTCAGTCATGTAGTGTCTCTCATTCACCAGTACACTTACTGGAGTGGAAAGACACACGTTTTGCATTTGTGCTTGAGCATAATGAGAAAAGGGAGGGAGCAGTATGCTACTTTGGAGTTTGTTGAGACATTTTACAAACTTTTTATTGGATGAGCTCCTGCCAGCATAGTTTCTGTGTCATTGCACTGTTAAAAAAGAACAAAAGTTATGTTCAGAAAAATCGTGAAAGTGCTTGCCATGTGCCGAACAAGTCTAAACCTATCGAGGAAAGAAATATTTGCACTGAAATTTATGTTGGAATGAATAAGACTCTAGCATTCAGCACAGAGAAATAATTTAAGCATGTTAAAAGCCTAAAGGGAATCTTACCACAGCTGTCACTAGTTGTATTACATACACAGAATAAATACAGCAGTGTTGACCACGGTAAACAAAGGGGATATATGCATGCACACACACACACACACACACACACACACACACACACACACACACACACA